TTCAGAGATGTTAGCCCAGAGGTTTCTGCAATGACTCCAACACCCCATTCTAGTTCTGGCTTCTGGTCTTGGAGGACACTGTTTAGCTATGGAGGAGCCCTTGAATTAGATACAAAAAAGCTGGGCTGAGTTTCAGCTTACTTGAAAATAAGGGTCAATACCCCTTTATAATTTTATTTAAATATGAAATTGCTATATGAAATACACTAAGGTTAATTTCATCTTATTGTTGTTTATGTGCCGTCGAGTTGGACCCGACTCATAGTGACCCGTCCTTGGGTTTCCGAGGCAGTATCACTATGGAAGTAGATTGCCCCATCTTCCTTCTGAGGAGTGGCTGGTGAGTTTGAACCGCCAGTCTTCTGGTTACTAGTCAAGTGCCTTAGGCGCTATGCTACCAGAGCTCCTATCTAAATTTCATCTTAGATAGCTAGAAAGACCTGTCTCAGTGGTAACATAAAACAGAAATTTTCCTGTACTTAGATGGCCATCAAGTTCTAGGGAGAGGTGATCACTTAATAATCTCATTTCTACGGTTGGCTTTACTTGGAACTAACAACAGAAGTATTTTTTAATGAGTTGTTGGAACTAACAACAGGGAAGGACAGTCACATAGGTTTTTTGTTTTGCTATTTTTTTCCCACATAGATTTTCAAAAACCTGATTTGGTTTCAGCATATTCCTGGATTGAGCTTACATAAACAAACAAAACACTAGCAAACCGTTTGACTCTTCCATGAAAATGTATTTCATGTTAAACACAATGTACACATCATGCAAATGAGGCATCACACGGTCACAATGGCTGTGCAAGGTACAACAGATCACAACAAAACAAACATTTAGCAAAATAAGCTGTAAGATGGCGAGGCATTTTCTCAAAAGACAAAACCATGCTTTCATATTCTGTGTGCTTGTCATAGAAGGGATTTTTTTTCCCTGATAATCATCAAGATAAATGGCACTGCATCATTGGAGGCATGTATTTTATTTAGTATATATACATACACAAACATACACAGTTTCCATAATTAATAAATTCTTAAATTGTAGCTGCTTTTAAAAGCACATGAACAAAATTACTATTGAGATTTCTTTATACCTCCTGGTTGCACACCTCTCAGAATTATGGATCTTTCTAAACCCCTCATTTACAAGTTAAAAAAAAGTTTCAAAGAAGGAAAGATAATTTTAGTTTGAAAGTTACATTTTTTACCACAAGAAACAAATATAAGAGTAAACATGATTACATGGCATAAAATGTGTGGAGTATACATACATTCTACTGTCATTTTATCCCCCATTTTTATGTTAACGTGACATACTGGGTCCAATTCAGGACCCTTCATTTCAGAGCATTCTGGTCTTCATTTGGTTCTGGTTTGACTACAGGTGAGCAAACACAGGAGCAGACCCATAAACAAAACTCCCAAGATCCAAGAGAAAAAAAACATATCACCACCATGAAAACCAACCACTTGTACGTGAAACATGTCAAGAGCCACTCAGTGGTTTGGAGTGACTAGAGTTTGGAAATTTTAAGGTACAACATGAAAGGATCTTGCTATCTTCAGTTGCCCATGAATGTAAGAACAAACATAATAGAACACAAGTTGGTATACCCTGTTCAATTACTTCCTTGCTCAACCAGACTCACTACTTTAGCCCCCAAAGAGCACTGTGGGGCAATGCATTTTGCAGGTGGCTAAGCTTAATAATAAAAAAAGGCTTCTTGATAGTACCTTCCAACAAAGACACCCTGGGGGAATCCTGAATTTCTTCTTTTAAACAAATACAGGGAGACACGCAGCTCAAATTCAGTACATGTTTAAGTAGAGTTTGGGTAAATGTGTAGAATATTTACAGGAAAAGATATCTAAATGTTTATATGCTCCAACTTTGGGAATAAGGATGGATATAAAGTAAATTTCCAAGCTGGAATCACTTAGGCTATTCAGAGGATCACTAGGATACTAGAGGAGTACAGGAAGTGTTTTATCAGCAGCTGAAGCTTCTAAATAGAACTGGAAAATGAAACATTGCTAAAGCCCAACAAGGCAAAAGTCTCAAGGTTTCTACCAAGAGTGGCCAGTGTTTGACATACTACCTAGGAATACAGTTACATTCAGATCTAATAATTTGGAATCCAGTGGTTAAGGATGACAGAAGCTTCTTCAGATGGGCAGCAGCTCAGATATGACCAGCAGCAGCTCATATATGACCAGCAGCTTCATGGGTGTTCCAAACACCACCTGTGTCAATTCAAAAACAAAACCAGGTGAGGCCAATGAATTTGCAATACCTATTTTTCTCACAGCAAAATTAGCACACAGTGTGGTACTTTCTAAGATACCCTCCATGGTATAATCAGTTAAGAGCTCAGCTGTTAACCAAAAGGTTGGTGCCTTGGAAGAAAAGCCTGGTGTTCTACTTCTGAAAGCTCACAGCCACTGAAAACCCTATGGAGTTCTACCCTACACGTATGGGGTCACCAGGAGTTGGAATTGACTCAATGGCAACTAATTTTTATGGTACTTTGTACATTCTTGGTAGTTTTCTTTTCTTTAGCTTATACAGTATTCCTCAACAGAAGTGCTACTGCATTTTGTGCAGAACTGTTCTTTGAGGTGGGCCAAATGCTTCTTGTGTAGGGCTGTCCTAAAACCTGAAGGATGTTTAATACCCCAAGCTTTGCCTTCCAGATGCCAATGCTGCCCGCTCCCAGCCACTGTAACAACAAAAATTGGACACACATTTCCAAACACCCCCTAGTGGAGGTGGTACCACCTCTAGCTGAGCAGAATTTGAGAAACAGACTACTTCACAAATGAAAATACCTAGGCAGTGTGAGTGACTTTCAGTCAAGAGCTTTCTCTCTTTTTCAAAAGAGACTTTGCAGTTTTTTCGTTAGAGATGTGGGAAACAGATTTGAAGAATCATGTATACTTTCCTAAGTCATGCGGATTTTCTGGTCCTGCAGGATAACCCGACTCACAGTGACCCCTCCTTGGGTTTCCGAGGCAGTATCACTACAGAAGTAGATTGCCCAACCTTCCTTCCGAGGAGT